TTATACGTGCAATAAAGGTTATCTATACATTCTCTAGATCTGCATTTTCACCTGCCTTGAATGGGGGATGTTAATGTACAGCAGTATTCCAGCCTAGAGAGAACAAGTGATTTAAAACGGATCATCAATGGATTTAAGATATCTTCCTAACATGTTTCATTTAGGACATAGTTTACCTGGTCGCAATTCATGTTCTTGTTGAAGTTGAATTTGGTGAAGTACCCTTATAGCTGTATGCATGTTGCTGATCAGTACCCCTGTGCATTTAAGTCTGGACTTCGATTAGATTGTGATCACAGTTAGTTGGTTTTGATATTATGTTTCTTACCAGGTCCTCACTATTTGTGAAAATAAGATCTAGTGTGTTCTTCAGTCTTGTTGGCTCCACTATCTGCTGACTTGGGGTGTGTTTATTGCAGAAAATCAGCAACTCCTGTATGTGTGACTTTTCATCTGAGCTGCCTCCAGGGATTATTTCTGCTACAACATTATTTTTTATAGTCTTCCATTTTGTATGTCTTAGATTGAAGTCACCAAGCAGCAAGATGAAAGCTTAGACACATGTGCAACATCTGGATATCTTTATTGTAGACGTTTCGCCATCCAGTGGCTTTATCAATGCAGATTCTAAGACATAATTAGAAGGCAGTAGAACTATATACAAAAGATGAGGTAATCAGTCCCTCAGCCTTGGAGTTAGTGTTCACAGCATCGTGGTGGAGGAGAATCTGGAGCAAAGGCAAGGAGACTGGGCGTAGGCGTCAGTGGATAAGGACGTGCAGCAGACGAGGGCATAGTCATTGGTAGGCGGGATTCCCCTCGTCTGCTACACGTCCCTATCCACTGACGCCTATATAACTGCCAGTCTCCTTGCCTTTGCTCCAGATTCTCCTCCACCACGATGCTGTGAACACTAACTCCAAGGCTGAGGGACTGATTACCTCATCTTTTGTATATAGTTCTACTGCCTTCTAATTATGTCTTAGAATCTGTATTGATAAAGCCACTGGATGGCGAAACGTCTACAATAAAGATATCCAGATGTTGCAAATGTGTCTAAATTTTCATATTGTCGGTATTTTATACCTTTCTTGCACAAGTAGCAAGATGTTTGGGGATGGGGCTGGAAGGTTTTCCAGGCAGGAGTTAATTTTTGATAGCTGTTCCTTGAGCTGTTGGGAAGTTGCATCTGGCGGTTTATATACGAGTACAATGACTAAGTTTTGGTTCTCGATTTTTATTTTTAGAACTTCAACTACATTTGTGGTGTTCAGTATCTCCGTGCAAATGCGCGGCTCTTTGACATACAGGCCAACCTCCTCTTGTTGCCTGTTCTTTCTGTCGCATCTGAAAAGGTCGTACCCACATATCCATATTTCACTGTCAAAGTAATCTTTTGCGTGGGTCTCTGTGAAGGCTGCAAACATTGCATTTGACTCCCCTAGAAGTCCACTAATGAAAGTTATTTTGTTGGTGGATGGCTTAAGGTCCTGTATATTAGCAAATATAAATGAGGTTGTGTTGCATGTTTGTTGGGGGATTTTTTGTTGTTGGCATCAGTAGTTTTGAGTCCGGAGGGGCCACTGGCTGTCTCTCCAGTCCAACAAAGCTCCAAGGTGGTGGACTATTTTGGTTATCTCTTTTCATTTTCTTTCTTCGTTTCCTACCACTAAAAAATCGCTTGGAGTGGCAGTGTCGTAACTACTATAAATACTATGATTTGTTTTACGGGATGTGTGCCTCCTGGTCCCTTTTAGGTGGTATGCAGGGCAGTTGGTATTGTAGCATTGTTTTCCGAGGACTGAAGAATGACACATTTCAGGGTGGAAGAATTTGCAAGAGGTAGAACGACACATTCCTTTAGACAAGAGGTCGCGGCATTTTTTGGTATGCTCAAAGCTGCTTGTCCCATTTGTTTTATCTGATATTCCATGCTTACAGATCCCCCAAGCATAGAATTTGCACCATTTTGCTTTTGGTTGGATACAGTTCGTATTGGATGTATTCCTAATATGTGCAGGTTCTTGAACTGCACCACAGTCCTCCATAACCAAACCAGAGACACCACCATTTGTTGTGAGGAGGCCAACATTTTTTCCCGGAAGAGGACTCCTCTACTACATCTGTACTAGGGGCTATGACTGTGGTGGCTGTAGAAGAGTTTTTAGCCGAATCCGGATTTGCACTATGGCTGGGGGCTGGGGTCTGGGTCTGGGGTCATCGCTGGGGCTGGGGGCTGAGCTAGCTGATTTTTTTTGTTGTTTCCTGTGTTTTTTTTTTCCAGTGGGTGTCTGTTTAATTTTGGGTCAACTTTTGTAGACTGGGCATTGTGTGTGTTAAACTTGACTCCTATTCTCCCATGCTCTATATATTCTGGGTAGACTATCCAATAGTTCCTCTTCGTTTTCATGTTTATTAACCTCCTGAGTGCTTTACTGATATCTGTCCATAGTTCCAAATCCTTATTGCAGATGAGGATATCATCAAACTTTCCACTGTATGTTTAGTAGGATAAGAATTGTATAAAAGTTCAGTGGCTACGGCAGCTTCAAAGGCTTCTTTTCAGCAAAGCTGGGGTTGTTATTGCTTGGGAATTACTATATCTCAGGATGACCTGTCCCATACACAGAGAGGGCGAAAAGGGAAGGAAGAGTTGAGTAAATTATTATTATACTCATTGGGAAAGCACTAAATTCATGGGAGTCATACCGCGCTCTAGAGGTAATCATGTTTGATCCTAAAAAGGTTCGGATCAAGAGTTTTTTTTTTTTCACCATAAAGGCACTTCTCTCCTTGGAGGGTTTTGATGCTTGAGATATTTCCGTGTGCAGATATACGGAAGCAACACAACGACACATCTTACGTAAACGTCATTTTTTTTTATTGCCACCCGAGACCGTCGGTAAAGAGATGACACTAAAATGTGAACGTTGAGATTTGACTCTTAGTTCCCCTTTAACCTAATCTAAATATTGCTTAAATAGAGAAATTGGTTTGAACATATGAAGTAAATAGCAGTTTTGTATAAAGTATCTAAGATATTTAACATATACAGATTATTTTCTCTCGTTCTCCTGGCAGACATCACGGACTGGACCAAAAACCTTCGCTGCAGTCAGGAGAAAAAGCACAGATGATAGAGACGAAGAACGGAGGTAAGGCACTTTGTCCATGTATCTGTGTATTTTGCTCGTTTTCTTTATTTACTCGTTCTCTCTCGAATCAAATTTCAAATGTGATTATGATATCCACGGTTTACGAATTGTTCATACTGTGATTGAAAAGCTGTTAGGCTGCTAGTGAATTAATGTTATATACTGTATTTCGTTCAGTTAGAAAACTTAGCATTGTTGAATTATTGTCAAGCTAAAGAATTTATTATTTAGCTTAGATTAAATCGACGTATCAGTAATATATGACAGATTAAAGGTGTGCTAGGGTTCGACTACAGGGACGGGTTAAAAAATAAAAGTATTATAAAAAAGTTTAGTTCATCTGTGAGGCATTCATGAAAAAATGACTTAAATATTTCGTCCAGAGGGAGGCAGTCTACTGCTCGCGGCCGGCTTTTTGAGTATGTAATTGTATGTAAACAGTTTATAGTGTATGTAAACATTTTTCGTTAGGTGCATTTTCTTGTTTACATAGCTCCCCTGATTTAGGCTAATATATGTGCGTACATGGTTCTCAGGATCACTGCCCCTGTGGCCTGGTCTGTGGCTTACGAGCCCTGCTCTCAGACATCTAGTGTCTAGACGGTAGCTGAGATGTTGCACAACTTGCCTTTGGCACTCAGATAGGAACACTTAGCACGCGTGATGGGATGGCAATCAGTCTGCACTCTTTTAACCACCAGGTTAGATGAATAGTGTGCATATCTGCGGGTACAAACATCAACTGACGGCTGAATGAATGGAAGTTTTTCTCAATGGTATCCCATCCTTCCTGATGCAGGATTACCGAAGACGCACACAGGCTGATGTAGGAACTGGAGGAGAGTCCAGGGAAGGGAAAATAAAATGATTTTATGAAGCGACCAAATGCCTGTCCTTAAAGTCCTTAGTGCGCTCAGACCCGAACGGGCTAGAAGTAAGAGAGTAAGACAGGAAAGAAAATATTTGAAAAGGAATCGCTCAAAAATATTATGATAACGAGTAGAAGGGAAGGTTTCCATTGCTGATGTGCATTAACATCGCTTATAGCCACGGATGATACCAATTGGACTAAGTAATGTGCAAATTCCTCTTGGTGGACGTCAAGAGGATTGTGCACCAAGCGCCTCTGAAGTGCTCCAGAAGCCCTCCTGGGAGTTGGCCGAGAGGGAAATGCCTGCAAAGGAAGTCTGATGGCACGAGGATAGCGAGGTCACTACCACTTGTTTTCTAGGCCTGCTCTATCAGTTCATCATAGTAATGGGTCATTATAAGGATGAAGTCATGTCACAGATTCTACTGCTACTAACATATCTACGTTCGCCATGGTAGTTTGATAGAGAACGAGCATTCCAACAGGAATTTCGCTTTGAGGGTACGAAGCGGAAATGATAGTAGAAGAACAGTAGATAACCAGGAAGTAGGAGAGCAAATCTGTGAAATTCCCAAGCGGTGAGTACCTTTGCACCTGCCATATCGAGGATATTGCGTCTATCCGAGGTAGGTTGGAGTAGGTTGTTGTACAACAATTTAGAGGCTTTCACGTGCACTGGGCAAGTTTGTGATGTTATGTTGTGCTTCTTATTGCAGAAAAAAATTCAGGAGGGAGCATTGGTGCATATACGTTCCCTAATTTGGTATGGGTGGAATCCACTGCATGGAATATGCTTGTACTGGAAGGCTATAAGGCTATAAGGCTAAATGGCTCGACCAAGAATGATATCGTCCGGCAGGAAACAGGAACACCAGATGAGTATTGAATGCTCGGCGATATCTGCTGTGCTTAAAGCATGAAAGGAAATCTGGGCTTCACCGTGCCAGTGCGATTGGATAGTTCCACAGGTTCCGCGTCCTTGCATGCGTGTAATAGTTGATTTTAGATTTTCCCCCGAGGGGTAAGTTTACTGGACGGTGTCACTTTGGAGTAAAAATAATGTCAGATAAGCAGTATATTACAGCCAAAATATTTGGCAAGCCATATATCCAATTGTTATGGTTTGCAATTAAACTGTGTTGACTCATGCGAATTTCCGCTCAATAGACATTACATCGCAGAGGCAGCATTTCCCTAGGAATGACTTGTAAATGACCTCGTGTTCCCTTGAGTAAATGAAAGCACAAAATTCATCCACGCCGAGGATTAATATTTTCCAAGATTAGAAACTGACATAGTAAAGGTAATATTGTCTGGCGGGAAGATGCCATTAAACTTTCATCAAAAACGTGACACGGGCTGGAAATGAGAGGACCCTCAAGTCTTGATATTAGTTACTTGAAGACTACCTAATCTGTCACGATTACGCTTGGATAACTTTTGGTCGAGTTTTGGAGCATTTTTAATCCCACAGATTTTTTTTGTTGACAGCTTATTAACCAGACCTCAGTCAATTCATCGACAAATTGCCAGTACAAATCAGAAACTGAAGTGGTAAGTGTGGAGCGAACTGGACAAGTATCGCCAAGTGCCAAATCAACCAGACTGTGATGAATATATGGACTAGTGGGGCGTCAACAGCAATAGCCGGGTTGACCAGGCAAGCACCAGACAAACCTGGGCTTCAAGAGTAGAAAAACAAGAAACTTAACAAAGGTATATCAGGATATTGGCACCTGCAAAGCTTTTCTCCCCAGGAAGCGTCAAACTGATATCTCACAAATATGGTGCTGAATCCTCTTGGCATTATTACAGCTAAGCAGGAAGAGCATGAGAGGCTCTAACACCAGACACCAGTTCAGTAGTAGGGTAGGAGGAGGCGTGGATGAGAGATTCTTCAGAGCTTTTCGGAGAGAAATAGGTGGCAGTGCCCTCAACTTTTGGCGCAAAAAAAGTGTCACCTTGATTTAGAATTATAGTTATATCGCTATTCTAAGTTGCTAAAAACAATCGCCAATCTTAGTAGTGATGGCGACGGGCTCAATATGTTTGAGTATCCTTTTATAGCAAACATTTGGCAAAAAGAGTTCTAAATTTTATCTGCCTTTTGCAAGATAAGGGGAAGCTAAAAATCACCGTAAAAAATGCTGAGCTATTTATAGTATTTTTCCAACTTTTATCAACTTTCTCTTAAAAAGATCACAACCGCGAGGAAAATGCTGGGATGAATAACGAGAACATTCAAAACTAGACATGCTAAGCCAATGATGGTCCTCTTTTAGTCACTTGTTCCTTGTAGGCTGGGATATTTTTGTGGATTAGCAGCCCCCTTTAAGGCAGGAGAAATTGGAGACCTAAAGAATGTACATTATTATTATTATAATCAAGGGGGAAGCGCTAAACCCGGAGGATTATACAGCGCCTGGGGGGGGGGGATGTGGAAGGCATTCAGGCTTAATTCGGGGAACTGGAGCACAGATCCAATTCCCTAAATCAAGAGCCCCTCACCAACATCAAGGAACCTTCCTTGAGGGGAAAGAATGTACAGAGAACTTAAGCTGCACGTATGAATTCAGTAATGCACCTAAATTACTTGGAACGTTTGAAGGCCCTCGACCTGCACTCCCTAAAATGTAGACAAGAAAGGTACATTATAATTTACATCTGGAAAATCGTAGAGGAATTGGTTCCAGATCATCACACACAAATCATTCCTTACAAAAGCAAGAGGGTCGGTAGACGAAGGAGAATACCCCCAATGAAAAGTAGAGGCTTCATGACACCACACAATATTTCACAAGCCTCCCGTTATACATAAGCGGGATTACCAACAGACTCCTTGCAGTCTTCAAAAGGAAACCTTATAAGTTCAAGTCAATTCATGAGCCTCCCGGATGTTACTGCTGCCAGTGGTAACATCATGGTTAATCAAGCCTTGATCCAGCAGGAGGCCTGGTCTGGGACCGAGCCGCGAGGGGTTGACGCCCGGAAACGTCTTTCAAGTGCCAGGTAAATATTTTCCAACGAAACGATAGAATATTTTGGTGTATTAACAATATTTACTAATATGTGATTAATAATATCGTAAATGTTATTAGTGTACTGCTTTTGAAAGTTTGGAGTAGGCTATGCATATATTAAAGTAATAAAGGCAGAGCTAGCAAAGGAAACTTTCGTAGTGTAGGTTGCAATTACATGATCGTTACACATTAATATAATACTGTTGATACTACTGCTACTACTAATAATAATAATTATTATTATTATTATTATTATCATCGTAATATTTTTTTCATAGATAAAGAAGCAGCAGACATTTAGCTTTATAAAAGTAACAACAATATACTGACATGGAGGGAGGTTGGGTAGGTGTAGGATAACTTTATGCCGGGCAAGAAAGTGATGTAGGAGATTGTAGTGAGGGAGGTCGCATCAGTAACGAGGCTAGTGGTTTTGCAGACAAAAAGCCACACATCAAGAAGCCGCTGAACGCCTTCATGTTGTATATGAAAGAGATGAGAGCTAAGGTGGTGGCAGAATGTACACTGAAGGAAAGTGCAGCCATCAACCAAATACTTGGACGAAAGGTTGGTTTGCATGTCTTTCTATTTATTATTCCTTACATTTGTTTATTATATATGAGACTAAACACCTATTAACAAAGACCTAGACGAAGTATCACGGTGCTATGTAATGTATTTCTTCATCTGGTGACATGGCGCAATGGTACAGATTCTAGCCTTTCGTTAATATTGGTTTAAATATATATATATATATATATATATATATATATATATATATATATATATATATATATATATATATATATATAATATATATATATATATTATGGCTGTTTTATAAGTGTATTTTTAATATGGATCATTACTCTCCTAATGGTTGTAGTGGTTAAGTAGTGTTGGTCTGCGAGGTCACTAAAAGGGTGCGTTTGGGGCCTCTAAGTTAATCGCATATTTTTACTCCACTAGACTCAGGTCTAGGTGAAAATATTAACATGGCCCCTCGTGCCGAAGGAATGGGTTGTGGACATTGACGATAATAATAATAATAATAATAATGTAAAAGAGGGTGTCCGTTGCTGACTGTAGTATATTACTCTAGTGGCACGCGCTTAGCAAAGAGGAGCAGTCCAAATATTATGAGATGGCCAGACGGGAGAGACAACTACACATGCAAATGTACCCAGGATGGAACGCGCGCGACAATTATGGTATGATGAAAAAGAAGAAGAGAAAGAAAGAGAAGACTGGTGATGGAGGTAAAGAAAAAATGACATGTTTTGCGGCGTGAGGGGTGGGTCCAGACTGAGTGCTGGTGTCGGGAGCAAGTGTCACAAGACTAATACAAGTCCCCCCTGCTTCGACCCTCACTCACCATGGCAAATATATATTGAGTCGAGTGAGGAAGCAAGTGTGGGACCAGTTTGTGTTGTGGTACCAGGTATAGTCGAGGCAGCAACCAGGTTTCTGGTGTCCCACCCCTGACGCTGTGGGTTGTCCACCACTAATCTTCATTTAACTTTCCCTGCAGTGGCATGCGCTAAGCCGCGAAGAACAAGCCAAGTACTATGAAATGGCGCGCAAAGAGCGCCAGCTTCACATGCAGATGTACCCAGGGTGGTCCTCACGTCAAAATTACTCGCAGGGGAAAAAGAAGAAGCGTAACCGTGACAAAACCCAAGATGGAGGTAGCTAACTGCCGTACACAAAAGGCTTTCCTCTTAAGCAACTCAGTTCGAAACATTGGTGGGTTGAGAGGTGTGTTGGGGTGGCAGCGGTGCCCTGGTGGTGGTGGCGCCTTCCTCTGGCGGAGCTACGCATGGCGGAGCTTCGCCAGGGGGTGGAACACGGAGCCTCCTGGAAGCCTATTGCCCTCCCAAACCACCCGCTCCGCCTCCCAACTTAAGGCTCCAAAATTTACTTATTAGCTTCACTCTTAACTTATTCATTATTGTAAAACTTTTACTTGAATGTTATTATATGTTTGCTTTTGTCTTTTTGCTGCCTGTTTTGCATATACATTCATATTTCTCTTTTCTTAATCAATTGACGTTGCTTAATTGGATTGTTGCCGAATGTTTCTGCTATTTTGATTACTACAATTACCCATTATATTTTTTCCATATATAACTAGGCTGAATGTTTACTTCTTGCTGGCATTAGTCATGCCTCGTGGATCTCCACTGTTATTTTCAGTAGCATCTTTGAGCAGGCAGGTTGATGCCATCATTTGGTTTTGTCACTGTCATATTGCTTCACTGCATTGCCACTGGGAGAGTCAAATGAAGATGTTATGAAAATAACACTGCAGATGAATATGACAATAAGTCTGAATCTGCTTTGTCTCAATCAAATTGCTCTCAATGCATGCAATCTTTATTGTTAAGATTTATTGATCCTGTGCCTATTAGCATGTTTTGAGATGTTTATTGTTTGTGAATATAAATGATTTAGCCATTCCTGTGATATTTATATGAGTGGTGGTGAGTGTGTGCGGTGTCTAATTGTGATATTCGTTCTCAGCAAATATGAAGAAGTGTCGGGCGAGGTACGGCTTGGAACAGCAGAGTCAGTGGTGCAAGCCTTGCAGGTGAGAACCCCTTACCTTTGATGCCACCCAACCTCTACCCTTCAAGATACACTACTACATACTCCCCCCCCCCCTTCCTTTTTCTCTCCAGTCCATACATACACACATACACACACACACACACACACACACACACACACACACACACACACACACACACACACACACACACACACACACACACACACACACACACTCACACTCACACTCACACTCTCACACTCACACTCACACTCACACACTCACACTCACACTCACACTCACACTCACACTCACACTCACTCTCTCTCTCTCTCTCTCTCTCTCTCTCTCTCTCTCTCTCTCTCTCCTCTCTCTCTCTCTCTCTCTCTCTCTCTCTCTCTCTCTCTCTCTCTCCTTCCCAAGTTTTCTTAAGAGGCTTTTCTATAGATTCTGTTTTCTTTTATTATTTGTTCTTGTTACACACTTATTCTCCATATCATTTTATTATCCAATTTATCAACAATAGGCATCTCGGCAGTCCCTTGAATCTGTGTATTATTTAAGGATACTTTAACAATAGTTGGGGGTTATTGGACTTGTGTGCAGAAACATTTTTTGGTTTCTCATTGCAAAGAGAATTAATTCAATTATTGACCTATTAAGCTGCTATTGAACTTGTTAATTTGCTTCACTCTCCTCTAGCCCCTCTTTTCTGACCCCCCACCCTCCCTCTGCATCGGTATGGACTGCCAAGTCTTCTGCTAATCTGCCTTTCCATTTCCCTCAATTACTTTTTTATAAATTCCTTCCCCCATCACCATTTGTGCCCAACTCGACCTTTCTCTTTATTCCCGATACTCTCATACCTTGCATTCATTCTTGCCTCTCCCATTCCATTCATTCCCATCCCTTACATTTGCTTCATTCTCGCCCCCTCCTGTTATGTTTATTTAATCCTGCCCCACCTATTACCTTCATTCATTTTTGACCCTTTTATTCCTTTATCCCTTTTTTCACCTACACTTCTCCAGTTTTCCTTAATTTCCTCCTATTCCTAACTTTTTTTTTTATTCATTTGACATAAAACTTTTTGAGCTCTTTGTACAGTATATATTTTTAGCTGTCAATTTTTTTTTAATATCACATTTTCTTGTATATTTTCCTTTGTCTCCTTTCATTACCATTTATTCCTTCTTTTGCAATCTCTTTGTAATTATGTTTTCACATCTGATAACTCTTTTTTATTATCTTTCTTGCGTTACTTTATTTGGTTTTCTCTTGGGAGTTCTTTCCTCTCGTATTTCTGCTCTCTCTGTCACTTGCTTCATCCTATATAGCTCTTTTGCCTGGTATACTTTTGTTTCCTCTTCTTTGCTTATGCCTTTACCTTCCCTTTTGTTCATTATTTTCCTTATATGCTGTATTTATTTCTCCCCTTTTTTTTTTTTTAATTTTTTCCCCTTCAAGTTGCTTTACTTGATTACCTAATACATTTACATTATTCTCTGTGTGATAGTTGCTTTGTACTTGAAGTTATATCATCACGGGTCTGGAGCATCCCCAAGTATATAACGTAGAAAGTGTGTGGACAGCATCTCTGATACATTAACCCTGGTGATTATTAGTTTAGATAAAGCCTTGCTAGGTCTGCCAAGATGCCTTCCTCCTCACCAAAATCCTTTCCTCATGCATATACCTTCATCAGTCACTAAATACCCCACAAACGTCTATTTCATATTGTCTAGTAAGATTGCTTTCCTCCTTTTTCAAGGGTGCTTTGATGCACCCTTGGAGATACCCCTCCTTTATATCAAACCTAATTGTCTCCCATTCCACAAGTGTTGTTTGACCCCATGGGTTTAGCTTCCTCATGTACATAATAATAGTAATATATTGCCACCCTTACATGTTGTTTGTGTGTGTTCCCAGTTCATCCTAATTTCTTTTGCTCTTCTCTTTTGTGAAATCAACAAAATTGACTTTTCTCTTGTCGAAGGCCATCACTTGGAAAATTGTGTCTAGATGATGAGCCTTGTTGTAGGCTTATTAACATGTGATTACCATGTTATGCACTCTTTCATGCTTATTAACATCTGTACTGAAAATCAGCGTGTTATAAGAAATAAACTAACACAAACTCTTGTAGAAATTCTATAACGTATATGCCCTGAGCTCTATTGTTTAACATAGTGTAGCAATGAGTTAACATAATGTAACAATCAGTAACATCATACCTCTGAGTCTCACCTCTCACCTGAACTACAGTTAATTTCATCTTATATTTTAGCATAGGTGGTAAACTAAAATATTTGATATTGTAACCATCTGTCATGTGCTTAACCCTATAGAATGTTTGTGTTTTGTGGGTCATCAGTGTTCAGTTTTATATAAAGATTAAACTCCATAAAAAATATTATTGTCTTGTCTTCGGTCTTTGTCAAGCTGCTCGAATTTAATGTATCTGTCCTATTGTATAAATGTATATCCAACTCTTTTGCCATTTTCTCTCAACTGTTATGTAGTATTGAACTTATATATTCTTTGTTGCAATATGAGTATCCTGTATTTACAAACACATATGTGTTGTATACAGTGTTAACAAAGAATATTTTGTTTTTTGTAGTAAAAATGCATGTTGTGTTTATTGTATCCAACTCCCTCTGTCACTACAATAGACCAAACACACTCAATTTTGTTTAAATAGTATAAAAAATGGAAAACAAATGAAAGAAATACATTATTAGCAAACTGTTTTCATAATAGGTGCATTAACTATACAAAAGGTGCTGTAACGATACAAAAGGGCAAAAGTTTTGTTCCTTTGTAGAATTTTATTTTGCATATTTATGTACCCTGTAAAGTATAACATGTACAATTACATGCATACTGACACTTAGCAGACAATTCATGTAAGGTGCCACTTTTTTTTTTTTTTTGTAGTTACCCTAAGTTTGTCAAACAAAAATTTAACTGTCTATGACTTTTAGCATTACAAAATACTAAAATCAACACATTTTGGACTCAGAATAACAGTAAAACCTCTCATTAATGGACTAATAGGAAAGAGGGGTTGTACAATACTAATGCCAATTTTCAGCAACACTTGAATTGTGAAATTAACATTTCATGATCACCAGGTTGTCTTAAGTAGTGGACTTGATATGCTGATGCAGAAGACAACCAGACACCAATACTACAGCACAGTACCCTACTGTATAGTAATTTTATAGTACTTTATATAATTTACAGTAATTTTATGTAACTCTTCTTGGTGGACAGACGAGGTGTAAACTGCCGTGATTGATAATGGTGACTCAGTATAACTTTTATTCTGAGTCAGAGGAACTGTAAAGCTCTTCTAACGAAAATAATGTAGATGGTTGAGAAGACGTAGATTTCTGAGAACCACATTTTTTCTTGGCACCACAACCACTTTCTTTAGAAGCCATTGTTAAATGCACTTTACATAATATGCTAATAAAACCATATAAAATGTTCTAAGTCCAGGGAAAATTAGCGACTAAAATGTGAAATTACACACTTTTGTCCATTTTGTTGGAAAAGTTGAGCATTGTCAGGCCAATTTTTGTCTAAAATGTGTTAATGAGAGGTTTTACTGTAATGTTATGTTTGATAACCTGTATATATTTAAGTATAGTATATGGCAAAGTCCTAAGAACCTTGAATTTTTGCCTGTTTCTTTTATTTTGGTCTAATGAAGGATCGCTGACTTTCACTTTCTGGAGTGACTGTGTGTGTGTGTTGTAGCAAAGTGCAATACCACTAAATAAATGAATATATACATATATGTGTGTGTGTGTGTGTGTGTGTGTATGTGCACAAGCGTGTGCATGTGCGTGTATTTGTTGTGCCAAATAAGCAAAACCAGTGAGTTAGGCCCCCCAAAAAAAGGGTCTTTTCTGCCAAATAAGCAGAGGAAAAATTTGTTTATGCCATAAATGTGCAAAAATCAATTTGAACATAAGGAAAATAAAAAAACTTGTTTATTTCAAGTAATATTAAATATTTTTAAACTAATCTGTGATATATTTAGCAGAATTTTATTAAAAAATTGCATTAACCCTTTCAGGGTCAAAAGGCCAAATCTCAAAGTGCGCACCAGTGTCCAAGAATTTTCAAAAAATAATTTTGTTATTTTTTCTTATGAAATGGTAGAGAATCTTTTTCGGAAGGTAATAAAACAAAGAGTACGAAATTTGATGGAAAATTGACGAAATTATGCTGTCGCGAATTTTGACGTGTCAGCGATATTTACACATCGGCGATTTTGCTGACTTTGACTCCCATTTTAGGCCAATTATTTTACTCCAGTCGACCAAATTCTTAGCTATTTCACTGGGTATTACTTCTATTCTATCGATTGAGCACAAGAAATCGCCAAGTCAACTGTTTCAACTACAAAATAAAGTGATCAGAAATTGGTAATTTGGCCAATTTAATGCAAAGTTCAAAATATTCTAATTTCAAAATAGGGTCCAGAATAAACAATGCGGGCATTCCTGGAACTAAACTAACATTTCCTCTGTTCATTAGTTATGTTTTCAGGCTTTACAAATGAATTCCATTTTGATTTTTTATTCACATAATGAATTTTTATTCAAACCAAAAAAATAGAAGATTTACTGTTATGCAATACTGTAATAATTGTATAAATAATATCACCACATTTGTGAACGTATATTAGACCCACCATCTGGTGTGTATTGGACGTGTGGAATCATTTGTTTACTCTTGAACATCGGTAAAAATTTAACATTTCTTCTATTTTGAGCTCAGTTTCAACCTATTTCCATTACTAAAACCAATTAAAATCATCTATATTTCTGTAATATATCTTCCATTCTATCAAATGAGACCAAGAAAACATACAAAAAACATATAAAAACACTGTAAAGTTGCTGTTTTAATCAAAAATTACAGTCTCAGTTTTTTTTTCTCTCATTATGCACTGTGTACTGCAGGATTTGTTTTGTGGTGCACACATACCACATAGATGTGTTCTCTCATATCTAGGCCCAAATTTACCACTCACAGCTTATCAGAGTGAGCTGAGCTCATGGTGTAGATCTACGGTTTGGACCCTCAACATATAGCCGTAGATCTACGGCACGGACCCTCAAAGGGTTAATTTAGTATCAGTTAGGTTATGTGAGATTTCTAAGCTAGGGTTTGTCAAAAATTTTAATTTTTACATCATTATCAATGAAAATATAGATTGTAAAAAAATTTGGCAAGTTTGGGTTGAGCAGCAGCTTGCGCACTAAATAGCTGAACTTGCCAGATAGGCTGAACTCCCTTAATAATTAAACTTTCCCCAAATTTTTTTTTACAGATTGATTGCTAATTTTGTTGAACAATGATATAATGATTTTTATTTTTGGACCAAAACTAACTTAGAAACCTCGCCTAACCTCCCTAAAATTAACAGTTTTTTTTTTTAGCTAATTCTGCTGTATATATCATTGGTTAACTTAAATATATTTAATATTACATTAAAGCTACGATATATATATTTTTCCTTATGCTCAAATTGATTTCCGCTGATTTATGGCAAAAACAAATACTTATTCGGCAAAGTGAACTCTTGCCAAATAGAGCAAACTGGACAGTTTGGCTTATTAGGCATGACATTATGTGTGTGTGTGTGTGTGTGTGTGTGTGTGTGTGTGTGTGTGTGTGTGTGTGTGTGTGTGTGTGCGTGTGTGTGTGTGCGTGTGTGTGTGTGTATATATTATATATATATATATATATATATATATATATATATATATATATATATACACACACACACACACACACACACACACACATATCTATGCGTGTCATAAGAGGCAATTAAAATGCCAGGAGCAAGGGGTTAGTAACTGCTTCTCCTGTATACATTACTAAAGTTAAAAAGAGAAACTTGTTTTTCTTTTTGGGCCACCCTGCTTCGGTGGGATATGGTCGGTTTGTTGAAAGAAGATATATTTATATGTTATTTAATTAGTGCATATGTGCAGTGCAGTATACACACACAACTGGGATAGTAATTCCAACACTGTTAGGGGCTGGTTTCCACTTAATTTTTATGATTTTTTTTATTTTTTGTAATTCTTAAAAGAAATTCAGGTATTTTGTACCTACATGCACATCATAATCATTGTATGCGCATTCTCAGCTTGTTAATATACGAACTCGAGTCGTAATGAGTGGCTGTCAGTGTATATTTTTAACATATAGTATTTCAGGTCACTACCCAGAACACTTTAATTATAGAGTTCTTCTATTCAAATACTAGGGTTAACTTGTACACAAGAACAGAATTGAGGATTTTATTTTTAAAAAATTCCGGTATATACTAGTCACAAATAATAGTGGTTTCCACATGGGTATAATATTTAGGAGTTACTGAGCATTGCTCCATGCAGTATACAGTCACTAGTCCAGTGCTTTGTGGATTTTAAATGTTCACTTAGTATTTTGTCACCAGCAATCCTTTATTTTATAAAAAAGAATACTGTTTCCTGTAATTTTTTTTGTCTTATTTTGCCCTTGTAATAAAGCTTTGTTCATGCACATCAGATAGGAATCATCACTGTATTCACAAAAATGTAGTCAGATACAAATTTCTTATCTTGTATCATGCAAAATGTATTGTACATTATTTTGTATTTCAAACTCTTATTAGCAGTAAATAAATAGAGATAGTGTTTCTTGCAGATACTAATTTGTCAAGATAAACATTCTATCTGATGTCTGAAAGGGCTAGTGTTTTTAGACGTATTGATAGTATTAATCTGTATGATTTTGTTGCATCCTGTAAATTTGAATAGTGCGTTTAACATTCTATGTTCATTTGTTATATTTTTATGTTGTCTTAACACAAGATTTTGTTAATATCTTCTACAGTTTTTTTATGTAATCTCTTTTCTTCCCTTTTACTTATTTCTCTTATGTTTATCATCTGTTTTCCTTCATCCTGCGCCTTCCTCTTTGTGAATTACTTTGCTCATACAACATACTAGCATGAATTTGGGTAATATTGCTGTCAATTTTTTTTTCCTTTGTAAAGAAAAATCTCTTAAAAGCATTACTTGACAACAGTGTTTAAGTTTTAAGCCATGCATTTGCTGTCCCACATCTGAAGGTTGTGCTGCAGGAGAGTGTTAAAGTCCATGTCAATAATTCTTATTTTATGTCGACAAGATATGAAATAAAATGAAGATTCTGACTCGACTTAACACACACTTGCTGTTACCTGTTCACCTTGCAATTTGAGTTATGAATGTGCTTCAGTGCTTATTCCAAAACAAGCTTTTCCCACTTCTATGTGGATGTAATTCATGAATGTGCATGCATTGGTATCTTATTATCTAACACTTAGGATAAGTATATTTGTAGATGGGTGTATGAGTGGGGAATTATCATCCAAGAGTGTTTCAATTTGTCATTTTTATTTATAACTGCCACTTCGTTAATGCGTATGTATGTTTCTCAAAATTTTGCCATTGAAAATGTGTGGAATACTGAAGAGCAGTTTAGATTCACAAACAGTCAGTAATATCAAATCTTTAAGCAAAAATCTTGGATGATAAGTCACTTGAGGAGTGAAAGGGACCCTGGCAAAAGGTCTCACTGTTCCATATTTGTGTGCCATTAGATGTTTTTGCCTTAAAAATTGTGGTGGGTGTGTGAGAATGGCTGTGAGCAGTATCAGAGAGGGGACTCAGTATGGGTTTATTGCCCTCCCACTGTTCCCTGGTCTCACCCACGCTCGCACGCCCTCCACTCTGTCCCATTGTCGTCCTCTCTGAAACTCATATTCTTCAACAGCATCAGAAAATGTGTCTTTTCCCCTCATCTTAACCTTAAATCATAGTCCCCAAAGTATATTGGTGAGAACTTTTGCTTGAGTGCCCAAGACCAAAGTTAGTCTGACTGAAGGGGCAAATGTGCCACTATTAACATCTCTGTGCACCCAGCATGTGTATAGCTGCAGGTGCATCGAGGCATGGCTAACCCTTGAACTGACACATTTTCTGATCACTGGTGCAGGGTTCAATGGCAGTCAGGTGGTGGTGAGGCTCTGAGCCAGGGCAGTGTGTATGGTGATGGTGGTGCCCCTTAGTCTCTAACCTTGGTCTCTCTCCCGGGCCCGCAGCCCTGCGGTGTCGCTAGCATCGGGGGCAGGCCTCCCTGGGGTCCCCTCTTCCCTGCTGGGGGCTGCTGGAGCCTCTGGGGGTGTGGCTGCTGCAGCAGCTGCTGCTGCAGCCACTTCTGGGGCAGTCATTGTCTCACTAACTCAGGGTGCTAGCCCTGCAACTTTGACCTCTCTGGCTCCCTCAGCAGCTTCCCAAGTAGGCACGGGGGGCCCTAGCTACAGCCCCGCACCAGGTACCCCCATACACTCCATCGTTAACTTAAGTACCAGCACCAGCAGCAGCAGCAGCAGCAGCACAACCAACAACAGCAACACCAACAACAACAACGGCAGCAGCAGTGGTGTCTCCTCTCCTTCTGAACCTACCTATGTTAATCTCTAGTCTGTGAGTCTCTTCACTGTGCTGTGAACTGCTGTGACGGATCTTGAACCTTTAGGCAAGGGCAATGCTTTTCTCATTATTAGGGGCCTTGTTATTTGGCAATTCAATATCCATCACAAGCAGAATAATCACGTGAGTGTCTTGTAGTGATTCATCTTGTTTTTATTTTACAGGTTTTGTTTTGTTTGTATTATCCATTGTTATGCATGTTTATATGTACAAAGGTAACACAATTTCCATTAATTATATAATTTTTTCTTTTACTAATGTACTAACCAACCAGAATAAAAAGAATTTGTAGTGTTTCAGCCACTTGATTTTTTTTTATTTTTTTGCTTTTGATGCATGTTATATATATTTTTTTTTACAGGATGTGGGCAGTAGCTGCATGAGTAGACATTTTGTTATGTTAATACGAAGCATGTATCTTTTATTGATTTACTCAAAATAAATCACTTAGAAATACTTTACCATATTTTGTTTCTTGCAGGCGAAAGAAGAAATGTATTCGATATATGGAAGGAGAGGAAGGCGAGGACATGGCACCTGGGTCAGCCGACAGTGTAGATGCCTCGCAGGAAAGTGACGATGATGATGATCTGCAAGACTTGTCATCTCCCTCCACTGCAATGGCAGGAGACCACACCGCCACCTCCCCTGCATCCTCGAGTCTGATGCCCTCGCCTGGGCCTTCCTTGGCATCTCCGTCAGGGCCGCCCTCCTTGCTAATGCCATCACCAGCCTCATTGGCTTCCCCATTAACGCCGGGGGAGGTACCCCCTATACAGATGAACCAAGTTCCCCAGATACCACATCCTCAACGGCCCCCAGTGGGCACAAATCCTCGTGACATCAATAATCCTCTTAGTGTGAATCAGTTGACTGGCCAGTGTGCTAGCAACAAACCCGAAGCTGGGTCTCAAGACTCCTCCCATCCTACCATGGTGAGCGTCACATGACCCACTGCAACCCTAGATACCCATGCCCACATGCTGTGCTGCACACGCCCACCCTCGTATGTACACCATGCTTTCTTACATGAGAAAGTACTATAATGGAGTACCCCAGAGTTTATACCAGTGTATTGCGGCTGATACACGGACATTCATTTGGTATTCAGGACCAAAATTTAAGCTCTGTGATGGGCCTGTGGCAGTACAGTCACCAATACCTCAGTGTCAAAAGTGTGGCTGAAGAGAGAGACTTGTGGCCCCTGTTTGGCACCATCCCTGTAAATAATTGTTCCTTCACATCATGAATCAACCCTTCATTGTATCACACACACAGCAGTGTTAGGTATTCTACTCTAAAGCTGCAAAGCCAGCCGTACACTTCGTTCTATTCTGCAAAATTGAAATTTTATATGTAAAGGAAATTTTTAAGACTACTGTATAAATTATATATTAGGCAAAATTTGACAATTGTGATTTTAAACTGTATGTGTATATATGTCGTGTGTAATAAGCCAAGTTGGTCAAACAAGCTGAACTGCTTTTAAAACAATTTTTATTTAATTTTATCTAATGCATTGACATATTTTCACATGAATTAACTGGTATGCAAATTTTTAATTTTACACGAAAACTAACAATCTAACCTAACCTTGTATGTAATGTAGGTTAATCCTATCCAACCTAAGGTCAGACTAAATTTAGTTATTTAAGCAATGATGTATATTAATTTTGTGATCAAACTAGTTTTAAACTGAGATATTACAAAAGTTAATTTACACCCGGCTTGTTTGGCAAAATCGTGCTTGCTGGATAAGCTAAGTTTGGCTTAAAAAAAAAAAAAACACACACACACACACACCATGTATGTATGTATGTATATTTTTTTTTAACACATCAGCAGTTTCCCACCGAGGCAGGGTCACCCAAAAAGAAAGAAAAACTCAAAAAGAAACAAAAGCTGTCATTATCATTCTACACTTTCACCATCACTCATACATAATCACTGTCTTTGCAGAGGCACCTGGATATGACAGTTTAGATAGTCACTTCAAACTGCCAATATCCCAAACCCCTCCCCATTTCCAGGACTCAAATCCAGCTAACCGGTTTCCCTGAATCCCTTCACAAAATATTACCTGGCTCACACTCCAACAGCTCATCAGGTCCCAAAAACCATTCGTCTCCATTCACTAATATCTAACATGCTCACACATGCTTGCTGGAAGCCTAAGCCCCTTGCCCACAAAACCTTTACTCCCCCCACTGTATAATCCTTGTGGCTTAGCGCTTCTTTTTGATTATAATAATAATAATTTACTCCCCCCAACCTTTTCAAGGATGACCCCCTACCCTGCCTTCCTTCCCCTAAAGATTAATACGCCCTACAAGTCATTCTACTTTGTTCAGTTCTCTCTAAATGACCAAACCACCTCAACAACCCCTCTGACTAATACTTTTAGTAACTCCATACTTCCTTCAATAATTTAATCCCACCCCTCTCCCCAACAACCTAGCATTTACTTCTTTTACAACCCCATCTATAAAAATGTTAAACAATGATGGTGACATTACACACCTCTAAGACCTACTTTTACCAGGAAGTAATCTCTCTCTCCTACACACCCTAACCTGAGCCACACTATCCTCATAAAAACTCTCTACAGCATTTAATAACTTACTACCTATTCCATATACTTGCAACATCTGCCACATTGCTCCCCTATCCACTCTGTCATATGCCTTTTCTAAATCCATAAATGCAATGAAAACTTCCCTACCTGTATCTGAATACTTTCACATATATGCTTCAATGTAAACACTTGATCTACACATCCTCTACCTACTCTAAAGCCTCCTTGCTCATCTGCAATCCTGCTCTCTGTCTTACCTCTAATTCTTTCAGTAATAACCCTACCATACAGTTTTCCTGGTAAACTCGGTAAACTTGTCCCCCTTCCCTTTATATAAAGGATCTGTACACGCTCTCTGCCAATCCCTAAGTACCTTCCCCTCTTTCATACATTTATTAAACAAAAATACCAACCACTCCAACACTATATCCTCCCCTGCTTTTAACATTTCTGTCATGATCCTGTCAGTTCTAGCTGCTTTACCCCCTTTCATTCTACGTAATGCCTCATGCACTTTCCCCACACCCACATCCTGCTCTTCTTCGCTTTGAAAAGATGTTATATCTCCCTGGCCAGTGCTTGAAATTTCTGCCTCCCTTTCTTCATCGACATTTAAAAGTTTCTCAAAATATTCCCACCATCTACCCAGTACCTCCAGCTCCCCATTTAATAACTTCCCTATTCTGTTTTTAACTGACAAATCCATTCGTTCCCTAGGCTTTCTTAACCTGTTTATCTCGCTCCAAAATTTTTTCTTATTCTTAGCAAAATTTCTTGACAGTGCCTCTCCCACTCTATCATTTGCTCTCCTTTTGCACTCTCTCACCACTCTCTTCACCTTTCTTTTACTCTCCATATACTCTGCCCTTCTTATATCACTTCTTTGTAAAAATCTCTCGGTAAGCTACCTTTTCACTCTTATCACAACATTTACTTCATTCCACCAATCACCCCTCTTTCCTCCTGCACCCACCCTCCTATAACCACAAACTTCTGCCCCACTACTGCATTTTTAAAATTATCCCATCTCTCTTCAGGTCCCCCCCCACTACCCATACTTGCACTAGCCCACCTTTCTGCCATTAGTTGCTTATATTTCACCCTAACTTCCTCCTCCCATAGTTTATACACTTCCACCTCTCTCTTGTTGTTTCCATTTTCCTTTCGTCCCATCTGCCTTTTACTCTAACTGTAGCTACAACTAAGTAATGATCTGATATATCCGTTGCCCCTCTATAAACATGTACATCCTACAGCCTACCCATCAACCTTTTATCCACCAATACATAATCTAACAAACTACTTTCATTACATGCTGTATCATACCTTGTATACTTATTTATCCTCTTTTTCATAAAATATGTATTACTTATAACCAAACCTCTTTCTACACATAGCTCAATTAAAGGCTCCCCATTTTCATTTACCCCTGGGACCCCAAATTTACATACTACTCCCTCCACAACATTTTTGCCCACTTTAGCATTAAGATCCCCAACTACAAGTACTCTCTCACTTGGTTTAAAACTCCCCATGCACTCACTCATCATTTCCCAAAATCTCTCTCTCTCTCTCTCTCTCTCTCTCTCTCTCTCTTTCCTCTACACTTCTCTCTTCTTCAGGTGCATAAACACTTACTATAACCCACTTTTCATATCCAATCCTTATTTTACTCCACATAATCCTTGAATTTATACATTTATATTCCCTCTTTTCCTGCCATAACTTATCCTTCAATGTTATTGCTACTTCTTCCTTAGCTCTAACTCTATTAGAAACCTCTGACCTAATCCCATTTATTTCTCCTCACTGAAACTCCTACCCCCTTCAGCTTTGTTTCGCTTAAAGCCAGGACATCCACCTTCTTTTCATTTATAGCATCTACAATCATCTTTTTTATCATTCGCACTACAACCACACACATTTTTATATCCCACTTTGACAGTTTTCTTCTTTTTCTTTTTAGTAGGCTATACAGGAAAAGGGGTTACTAGCCCACTGCTCCTGGCATTTTAGTTGACTTTTACAACACGCATGGCTTACAGAAGAAAGATTCTTATTCCACTTCCCCATGGATTTGAAAGGAAAAGAAATAAGACAATGAATTATTAAGATAAAATCAAAGAAAACTCAGATGAGTGTGTACAGTAGGGCCCCACTTAAACGGCAGGTTAGGTTCCAGGCTTCTGCCAGAATGCAGACATCGCCATAAAGCAGAACGCCATATTTTCCACTTATAAATGCATATAAATGTATAATACACACACAGTACACCCATTACTTACCTTAAAATATTTGTAGTCTTAATGTAGGGTGAGAGGCAAGTTTAATTTGTAGAAAGTCAGGTTTGGGAGGTATGGTAGCCAGCCAGGTCAGCCCACCCCACCCACGTAATATACTACATTTAATTAAAGCTCCTCAGAGCAATAAAATATATATACAGTACATTCAGTAATTACCTTAAAATATTTGTAGTCTTAATGTAGGGTGAGGTGAGTTTTATTTGTAGAAAGTCAGGTTTGGGAAGTATGGGCAACCATCTAGGGAAGCCATCCCCACCCCACCCACACGTAATATACAGTGGACCCCCGCTTAACAATATTTTTTCACTCCAGAAGTATGTTCAGGTACCAGTACTGACCGAATTTGTTCCCATAAGGAATATTGTGAAGTAGATTAGTCCATTTCACACCCCCAAACATACACGTACAAACGCGCTTACATAAATAAACTTACATAATTGGTCGCATTCGGAGGTGATCGTTATGCGGGGGTCCACTGTACTATGATATTTATTTAAAGCTCCCCAGAGTGATAAAGTACATATACAGCACATTCATTAATTACCTTGAAATATCTGTACGTAGTCTTAATATATGGTGAGAGGTGAGTTTTATTTGTAGGAAGTCAGGTTTGGGAAGTATGGGCAGCCAGCCAGGGCAGCCCTCCCCATCCCACCCACACGTAATGTAAAAAAACCAGGCAAATGCGTCTGGTTTTCGTCACTTTACATTATGTACAAGTTGTCTCCACGTTGATACAGTAGAATAAATAGAGAGAAACACTCCTATTCTCATGTAACATTATTTTTAGAAGAAATGACGCCCTGAGTGAAGGCATACTTAGGTAAAGGTACACATACGTATAATTATCAGTTATAATAATAATGTAGGTATGTAGTCCACCTGGGCTACATACCTACACCTACCTACATAGCTAAATGATATTTAATGTAGCCCAGAGCCATATTATTACCATTGATATGCCATGTTCACCGAGTTTAATTGTTTCTAACAACTACCTTTAGATGCCATCATAAACAAAGGGAGAAGTAATAATTTATGCCGAGAATTGTAAACAAAAGTGTTGCGTATTAAGGGGAGTGACACAATGTTTACCCTCCATCCAGCTACCACACCTCCATAGTATATAAACATAAAATGTTTATATGCTATGTAACGTGTTTCTTATATCATAGATGGATTAATGAAAATGTCTATATTAACGTAAAATAAGACATTTAATGTGCCCAAGAGTGATTATTATTAGTGTTACATAATGTTTTTCCTCCGCCTGGCAACCACACCCCCATAGCATATAAACAGCATGTGTATATGCTATGTAATGTGTTTCTTGTATAATTTTGAAGAAAATATCATAGATGAATTAAAGATAATGTCTATATTGACATAAAATTAGACATTTAATGTGCCCAAGAGTGATTATTATTACATAATAGAGATGTGCTCATGGAGAATGTAAACAAACCGGGTGGCGCGTGCCGTATTTGAAAGACCGCTTGCCGTATAGAAAGTGTTGGTCATAATTTGAGATCGCCGTATTAGTGGAACGCCATAAGTTGAAACGCCAGAAAATGGGACCCTACTGTATACTTAAACATTTACATGCATGTGTAGTGTGGCCAAAGTGTAAGTAGAAGTAACAAGACGTACCTGAAATCTTGCATGTTTATGAGACAGAAAAATGACACGAGCAGTCCTACCACCATGCAAAACAAATACAGGCTTCTGTTTTACACTCACCTGGTAGGACCGTAGTACCTCCCTGGGTGGTTGCTGTCTACCAACCTATTACCTACATAAAATATTGGAACTGATTCACAGTACAGTACATATCACAATACTGAACTGAAAACGAAGGGAGAATTCCATTGCATAATTTGTTTATTTTGCAATATGCTAAGTCTAAAAAGGAATCACATATGTGATGTTGAGAACTCCTGGTGAAAAAACTGCAGGCTGCCCAATCTCAT